CCGACCATGCACATGGTCCGGGGTTCGAGCCCACACCGACGCACACCCGATATCTATGGTGAGCCTGCGAAATTTGGGCTACCGATATCCTTGCTGAAAATTCCATACTTGTACCAGAAATACAGTGTGGAATCAAGCTGTAATAAAAAAAATAAAATAAACAAATAAAAAAAATAAAAAATCAATCACCTTATAACCAAACTTTACTGCAAATATTAAGTGTAATCTTTCAAGAAACTCCGTTTTATATCAGAATGAAAACTTGTATCACCATTTTACTATCAATGTTTCCTTTTTACAGGGTGATAAGGGTCAAATCATTAAATGACATTTCGGGGTATATATTAGTTTATTATCTAACTACTGTTCTCTGAATTAAGCTATTACTTTTCTAATCCACTTGCCTTTAGGAAAAGTTGAAGGACAAAAAGATGCTCTGAGGATTTCATTAAAAGTACGGTCTCAGAAAATACCGCGAAATTCATCCCAATATACAAGTAGAATATATAGAATATAGAATAAATTCGGGATAAATATCTGAAATGAACAAACATAATCATTTACTTAATTACTGCCTAGTCCAAAGACTTCAACAGAAGACAAGATCAACAAAATGAATTGCATCAGTTGTGAGAAGTACTGTTTCGGTCAAATTAGGCATCCTCTTCGACTATGAATTCAAGAGTATAAACTGGCCACCAAAAGACATGAATTTATTACTTCATATCAATAAATACAAAACTATGGATAGCGATTTGACTAGGAGAACCCAGAGTAGCATGGTTCTTGGAAAGATCTTTATTCACAAGACTAACTGACATATATCAAGGGTGAGAACAGCTAAAGAGTTCAAACGTCAGTCGAAGCACTATCGTAATCGACTAGAATGAATGCAAGAATATGAAAGATTCTGAGGGTCACAAATCCCATTTAAAGACATCGAGAGGGATAGTGACACCATTTGACAAGAATTCTAACAGAATTCAGCCCATATTGAAATAAACACTGAAGGTGTTGTCTAGAAGGACAATAAAAGCTGACAATTAAACCACCTTATTGAGAGAATACAGTCTCATAGAAAAATACTCTAGCCTTATTTATTTACAACTGTCATTACTGTACTAAACATCAAACGTAAACTTATAAAAACTCTAAGAATGCTTCATCGACAAAGAGGTTGGTAATATTTCTGACCGAAAAAAGAGATGCATAGAAGTAGATGCGTACACAGATGAGTAATCCTACGACCTTCTAACTCATGTGCACCTGTTATTTCTCATTCAGGATTCAGAATCAGAAGTTTACAACCCACATCACCATTGTTTAATAGTTTCTTTGACATCATCATGTTGTTTATATGATAAACTTGTTCAACTTTTAGCTATTTAATATTGATCTAACTTGATACATGTTGGATCGATAGGCCGTTTATAGCATGGTGAATTTGATTTTGTTTCTTTGTCCACTGTTCACTTTTCAGTAGCATCATGTATGAGTCTAAATCTGATCAACTAACTTGTTATATATGTGTTAAAATAAGTCATATAGTCGCCATTTACGGTGCCTTTATCACTTGTTACAAGAATACTTTCTATGCTGAAAGCACGGAGTGTGTAAATCTCAGCAACAGTTTGCCTGAACTCATGCCCTTTAAACAAACACTTGTAAATAAACAAATGCATTCTACCTGGGTAAAATAATTATACGAAATCACCTCTGTGATAAAACCGAAAGTGAATGCTTCCCATATGATATTAGTTTTGAGTTTATTATCCCACAATTTTACCTTTCAAACCTCATTTAATAAGAAAACATTCATTATAAACAAATGCCTAATTTATCTCTGGAGTAACACTTACTCCATCAAACGCTTATCAAACGTAACATCTAATTCTAAACTTCAAAGTCAATGTAAAAACAGTTTCATATTGAAATTTGTATAGTGTAACTTCAACATACTTCAGAATAGTTTATCTCGGAATTTTATAAAATGAAAGATATTTGATTGTAATGAAACAGTAGTCTGCAGTGAGCCATTTTCGTTCTGGTTGCTACTCAGTTGAATAAACAGAAATAAGCTCATTCACTTATGTTAAAGAAGACTAAGGTGGCAGTTAATCCATCTACTAGTTAATTGGTGACTTCATAAGATGTTCTGAAAATCAGTGGAAAGCAATAGTTTTCTCACTAGATTGTTTAGAGAAGTTTTCACAGTTACTGAAGTTAAATTTCATAGATGAAATCATTTTCAAGACTGCAGTCATTCTTTCAATCTATCTCTTATCTCTATGATTAACGTTCACACCAAATTATAATAGATCAAATGAAATGAAACAGATTTCTTTCTTTAGGCTTATCTTCTTAGTTGTTGATTCGCACTTAAACCTATTTCTTCACCAAAGTTTCTTATACAGAACTTTTAATTTATATCAAAACTTCTACATATGAAGGCTTCTACAGAATTTAGACTACAAGTGTACTAACAGAAGGCATTTCTGATGATAAATCATAGACTAAAACCTTGATGTGCTGTTTCATTCTAAAAATACAAGCAATCCAGGTATAAATTAATATTTCTATATGTCCTAGGCTAGATGTTATGTACTGAAAATACAAATTTATGTGCATTGTCACACTCATCATAAATTGACAACTCAATGAAAGTACTCACATCTTTATAAAGACCTGATATCCCAATTCCTTAAACATTGTTGTCGTTCCACTGAATACACTTTTACTGCACTAATAACACTTCTCAACAGCATGGCGTGTAGTGTCCAAGATTTGATCAACTTCATTCAATAGCTGGCCATATGACTATGCTACTTGTCAGGTGATCCACAACGGAAACCTCATCGATGGCTATGATTTGAATAAAGAAGTAACCCTTGACTGTCTGCCTATTATCACTGTTGATATTCTTAATTGTGGTGGACTTGGTTATGTGTCTGACTGTGGGGATTAATAATCCCAATAAGAAGACTCTAGAAGACCTGAACTTCGCGCGTGGATGATTTATGTTTAGTATCACAAACACTTGAAGACTCACATATGAAAACCAACCAACCGGTTGAAGAGGCGGTCAGAGAAGGCAGGAATCTGAGTGAACATACAGAGGGCGGCAATGGAGGTGACGAAGGTAACCAACCAACAGGAACAACAACCAACACCAATCAACATCGACAGGAGAAATTTAACAGAAGTTACTTCCTTCCCTTATCTGGCTTGGTGGCATCGTTTCAACTACAGGAAGAATGGATGAAGATGTGAAAGGCGACCAGAATTAGAAAGGTAAGATACTCCTTTATCGATCTGAAGTCAGTGTGGAAATCATTCGCACTTGGCATAAAGAAGAACATTCGGATTTTCGACACAAATGGGAAGTTAGTCAGTTCTTCTATACGTGTCAGAAACTTGATGCATTACGAAAAACATTTCCAAAAGTCTGATGAGGACTTTTACCAAAAGCCGTCACCTTCTCAGGCTCCATACCGAAGACTTAATGGCCAGAAAGAATAAGTAACAAGAAACTGTGGGAACAACCCAAACAAGAACCGATTGCTCAACAAATATGTGGAAGAAAACTGAGATGGATCGGAGATACAATGAGGGAGCCGTCGAATGGCATTGCCCGCCAGGCCATCACTCGAGTGGAGTCGAAATGCGAAGCGACAAGTGGGTCGTCAGTGGGTGGATAACATGGAAGAGATGAGAGATTATGGGCAATCGTGGGCTCAGCTAAAGAGGACAGAAGAAAATAGAAGTCCTATGTCCCACTCAGAACCCAATGGAACAATAATAATAACACTTCTCTTACCATTAACAGCACGATGAAAAGGGCATCAAGAACATATTTATAATGGTAGAAAACTTTATTATTTGTTGTGTAAACACTAACCAAGGGAAATGTTAAAATGAAATGCATTCTACAATGCCTGCCGTCCAATGTTTCGACCAGTATGAGTAGATACCATACAACAACTAAGATAAAAAAAATTCCACTTCATACCGTCAAATAAGCAGTGCGATTTTACACTACTGGCTACGCAGATTTCGAATTTGGATCACAAAATAACAATCGCCTACCCATACACAGTGAAACACATTTTTAATTTGTTCTTAAACTAATGAAAATAAACAATACTTAAAATTGTCTAATTTTATTTTAATCATCAACGGTTGCGATTACAAGTAACTAAGAAAAAGCACTTTTAAGCATCTAGTATCTTCAGTGAACATTCTCTTCTAACATCTACCTATTAACATCAGTTTAAAATGAAATACAGAAGTGACTGTGTCTTTTTGTTTACTAAATGCTAAATAATCACCTGTAAAATAGGCTATTCAAAAATCAGTGGAAAAACGATTCCTGATGTTGGAGCCGGGGTAGGGAAATAATGAGAAGCCGTTTTTGAGGTAAATTCAGTTCTTATGATAGCTATTATTGCTTTATATTCCCATATTTGTTTGTATCCGTGTCAGTCAATATCTAAGTCAGAAAATTCATCACTAATATACTCAAACCACAGCTACTGCTCTGTACAACAGGATTACTTGTACACACTGGTCTCCGGAGAGCAATCAAAATACCGATACGTGCTGATGACCAGTGAAGACGGCTTTTTCTTAACAGTTGGTTCCGAGATAAATAGAGTCACTTAGTTTAATGACAGTACTTCACAAATGGATGACAGATTTTGATTAATAGATTAGAAGTTAGGTGACCACACCACCATCATTGGGCTACAAATCTACAGGATTACAGAGGTGTGACTGCGTGAGCTCCCTATTGTCGCAACAACACGAATAGACATATTCTTTATTTAAAATCTTTTGATATGAAAAGGCAGGAAGTACACATAGTTTAAAACAAATAGAACTGACAGCAAAGTAGCAAACTGTAATTAAAGACTATCACACTACGAAGTCCAATATCTATATCTGATGAATAACAATCAAAATTATTTAAAGAAAATAATTTAGAACTCCAAGATATCTCCACTTTCTTTGATAATGACCGTACTCTGAAATAAATAAAAGCAATGTAATAGTTTTTATGCTCATCATTAACACAATAAAAATTTTCAAATGAGGCCATATGTATGTACTCATATATATATATAACTTCTCAATAGGTTGTAAATTAGTATTGCTTACTATTATCACTTCCTTGTTTCCTGCGTGGAGTAGAAGGTTTCATGACTACCTCACCATTTCATCCTGTTATCCGTAGTCCTTCTAAACTGTTTCAATGATGGAACACAAACTCCAATCTCTCCCTCACACAACCTCCTTCATATCTTTCTCAGACGTCCAACTTATCGTCTCTCATTCGAGGTCCACTAACAGTTCTGTCACAAGATGGCACTCAAAGGTCTCCTCAGCCTGTGTGTGTTTTGTTTCCACTTTGGCATATTTTTGTCGAAGTTCCTAGTGTCTAACTTCTTCTAGCCTTCTGATCTTGAGTAGGAAATGCTTCCCCTGACGCGAATGACAATTCATTGAAGCATCTAGAAAAACTGTCTTGATATTAGTTGCATACACAGAGTGCAGAGAGTTTCCACACCGTTTACAGAGTAATGAGGCTCTGTCATGCATTCAGATCCTGTCTAGCTTTGACATCCTTATCTGTGTCACTTGTAGTTGAAATGATGCTCCATAGACAAATGAACGCATTTACCTCGTCCAAATTTCTTCCGTTGATAGTGATCGGAGCTTGTTGTTGTCGGGCATCGGGTATTTTAATTTCCTCCGTCGTCTATATGTTCACCTGAAGTCCTGTATCTGCTGCTGACTCTGCCAACAAATATTCGTCATTCTGGTTAACCTCATTTATCTCCGAATGAATGGCAACTGTGTTCGGAGTTTTGACTTTTGAGAGAGCTACTCACTTAAAATAACTCCAACTGTATATACATATTTACATGTAACTGCGGGAGCGGTAATATTGAAAAACAGAAAGAAGGGCATATCTACGATTTTATGAACCTATACCAAAAGACTTATGTCTAAAGGGAACAAATGTTTTAGACAGTACCACCGCCAGGCATCTTTTTGAAATGGGTCATGAAGTGGACGTCGCAAGATCGTTCAAAATTAACAACAAGCAAAAGAGTTCAATCTTCCTCAAGTTTGCTGAAGCCATCTCTATCAAGCGCCTGAAACCTAATTTATGCATTCAGAAAGAAACAGTTATCAGTCTTTCCCTGCCCACCTGGTAGCTGGATATTTTCACCTCTCTTTCATCTGATTACGTAATGTCAGGAGCTTCCATTGTGTATGATCATTATTGTTCAAAATAGTGTTTAATATTATATATATGTATACTATTACTTTATGCATATATTGATTGATTTGAACTTGGTGCAAGTATGTTAAAATTGTTTCTGTAGATATATTAATAATGACTTCGACCGGCAAGCAACTGATGAGAAGCCAACTAAATCAGCAAAGATAGTGCCATTTCATTCTGCGAAAGTTGTTGTTCTTGCTTCATTCGAATCCATTAAGAGGAATAAATGTATAAAATCATTAAATCTTATCTGCTAACTATCTCTTGCTGCTAAATTTCTACGTTTCTACCACCATCAGCCTACAGCACTGATGTGATCCGGATCACACTCGTTGTACATAATGTTGACGTTCAGACAATATAATCACTCGTATGTGCTTAAAATTATGTACTAAACTAGAGGGTACCAGTCTTATAAATGACAAAAATTCAGTCACAAATACATTTTAGCCATCTACATTTTGAAAATGGCTAGCAGTTTTAAGTGACAAAGTACTGTTGTTTCCAGTTTAGCTTCCTGGTGTTTAAAATTGTTATTTTCTATGTAAGATTACGAGGCTTGGTATGGACGTAGGGGGTTATCTTAGTCTCAAGTCGTCGTTTCGCCTTTTTAAGATTCACCCGTAACACCTGATATTCCTCACAACGAAGTTATGACTAAAAAAGTATTAGTTTTTGCTGTACATGATTTGTCAAATGAAGCCTACTAGACATTCATAATACTTACGATCCATAATGACGCTTATTTTCATTTTATAATACAGTCAACTACTTTATACTGGTATTCACTAAAGGTGAATCTAATACAGTTTTGTACTGGGATTTTCACTTTATAAATCCACCATTGTTAAGCTATAAGAAGAAATTATTTAGAAGTGCACCAATAACTTTTTACTATAAAAAGTGCAAGTGTGCTGATCAAACTGCAATTCTACTCATCATGATCACAGGTCAAAGCATAGAATGGCAGTCAAACCCCTGCCTATCTCGACTTTATTGACTTCAAAAAGGTCTTCTACTGATGGTATTGACCGAGAAGTAATCTGGAAACTAATTCATCAATATAACATGCAGGGCCAAATTATTTACCCACCTCACTCAACAGCTGGCCATATAAAATTGTCACTTGTCAGGTGTTCCACAATGGAAGCGAAGCCTTTGAAGTGAATACAGGAGTATGCCGTTGTATTTATACGAAGACTGCATATAAGAAGATCTGCATTTCACGCGTGGATGACTTATGTCTAGTGTCACGCTAAGTCGAAGACTTATAGGCGGTAACTAACAAGCTGACAGAAGAAGCAGGCAGCGAAGACAGGTAAACACAGAACAGGTGAAGACTGAGGTGATAAAGATAACCAACCGGCAGCAACAACTAGTACCGGTCAGTATCAATGGGAGAAACTTGAAAGAGGCCGCTTATTTCACTTATCTAGGAAGCATCTTTTCAACTGCAGGTGACATCATGGATGAAGGTGTCAACGATAAAAATTGGAAAGGCAAGAAACACCTGCATGAATTTGAAATGGGTTCGGAAGTCTTCTGCACCTAGTCAGCATAAAAAAGTATTCTGATCTTTAATACAAATATTGAGTCAGTCTGTCAGTTCCCCTATATATATCAAAAACATGACTACCGCTCCACGAAAAGTATTTGGAACAAGCTACTGAAAACTTTTGTCAACAGCTGCCATCTTCATTGGCTACATATTGAAGATCAGATGGCCAAAATGGATTAACAGCAAGAAACTATAGGTAAAATCTAATCAAGAACCTATCGTTCAACAAATATGTAGGGAAACTGGAGATGGGTTGCGTACACACTGAGGAAACCATCGAATGAAACCGCTAGCCAGGCCATTGGTCGAGTGGAACCTGGATAGGAAGTGGCGAGTTGGTTGTTGGTGCGAGGGTGACATAGAGGAGCTTTTGTAGCAAAGAGGAGATGAGAAAATATGGGCAGTCGCGGGACTAGATGAAGAGGAAAGCAGAAAATAAAACAAAGTGGAGGTGTGTTATTGCTCCCTATGTTCCACTCTGAACCCGAAGAAGTACTATTAATGTAATATACGGTGCATGATTTATTCAATATCAAAATCCATTTTTATTATTCAGAAACTGTCCAAAACAAAAGTTTATGAAGTGATTCACTCAAAACTCACAAGAATCCTTTTTATTGGCATGATACCTAGGTGATATAATGTAATAACAAAACAATTAGAATAATGCAATAAGTCTTATATTTATTCTAATAACAGTTTGATTGTAGATATCACAAATTCTATATCATTTTCTTGCTTCCTTGATTTCTTATTAGATACGAGTATTGTAGAATTAAAATTTAGCGGATCACACTTCACCATCTTATTGAATATCTGCTTGAAACGATATTGTCGCCTTCAAGCACAATTATGTAACAACAGTGGTCACACTCTTTAAGTGTCAATAAAAGTTTAGAACTAACGACAAAAGTTAATAAAGCAGGATTTAATGAATTCATCAAACTTTGGCAGAACTCTTCAGCTGAATACCATTAGAATTACATTGGGAGATATTAGACTGAAAAGGAAATAAACTATTTTGGATTAATCATGCAAAACGGTAAGTGTGAATGTTTTCACTGAGTTTATAAACTTGTACAATTTTTTATTCCTTTACGTTCTCAAGGAAACATAGGGCTTCAAGCTAGAGACCTGAAGTTTCTGTAGCAGTGATGTTTATTTTTACAGGAAGGGGCTGCTAGCCTCATGCCTAACCTTTCCTTTTTGCCAGTCTTATTACTGGCCTAGAGAGGTAAAAGTATGCGTCGGCTGCGGACCAAATCACAAGCCACCTACGTAGCTGACGAGCATTCTACCACTATGCATTATGCGTGATCAATTCAAAAGTTTTATGAATGATCCAGAAAGGAACATATCACAAAGACAATTTTCAGCTGACCATTTACCTAAGGAGTTACAAGTGATGTTTTTAGAATATGTTAATAAAGTAACAGTTAGCAGAAGAAGTAAAAAAGGGATTATTCTCGTCAGATCTCCCAAGCTTGATGATATCTAATTGAAAAAGATATTGTTCGCTTATTTGTGTTGTTCTTATTTCATTTAGTTTATTTGGTTGTCAGTCTTACATCTCCCATGGTATTGCTTATCAGGTATTTATCCCTGTCTATAGAGTATTCAACTGAAGAGTTCTACTGAAATTAGATAAATTCATTTATTCCCAATTTTATTAACTTTTGTTGCTTGTTTTAAATTCGTATCAGGAAATGTTTCCAAATAAATAAAAGTGTAGTTGACCCCATATTTACTCATTTAGGCATATACAATCATAACTTTGATATTGCATCTATATGCATCCATCATTAGTTCATCATTTAAAGACTATAAATGTCCCTGTTAAACTAGGCAACGTTACGATTCGATAGAGAATTAAGTGCTTGGTAAAAACAGTATTATTACTTATTAAATTTCAAATATATGCTAAAGGTCACTGAATACAAGCAAAGTAAATTCAGTCCAATGGATTGACTGAATAACAGAGAGTAAAGAATATTGTCTGCACATTCCTTAGTTCTAAGTGAGTTCTATCAACCAAATTCTCAAAGAAGTGACTTGTCATTGCAGCTCACCTCCACCTGTTGTTGTTGACCAACATGTTTTGTGTTGAGTGACAGTCAACAGAACAAGTTGCCGAGACCTCGAAGTGACTAACGTCCCCACGAATATTCAAACTCCACTGTCCCTATGTAGCAGTTAGGGACGTTGCCACCCATCAATTTAGTAGGTACACCATATTCGCAGCTACTAGTATGCAGTGCTTCCTGCCTGCCGATTCTCACCATCTTACACCGAATTCTATTGCAAAATATTCATAATCTAGATGCCTCCTTGATACACTTATACTAAAATATACTGTTATAAATATCATTCATTATGAAAACTCTGTTTGTTAGAAAAACCAATTATTTTATTGAATCGTATCCCCCGCTTTTGCATGAATTTGAATTAGTTGAACTGAAACGTAAACTTCGCCCACGAATGTATTTCAGCTCAGAGATCAGGTTACTTATCACTAACTGAGTTCGACAAAGTGGAAGATAAGTGCAGTGGGAGCCACTAGTTGAAGTCCTGCAGTGATCAAAGTTTCCGTTAAGAAAATTAAACATTAACATATCAGACCAAATTAGGATTACCTTGGATGGTCATACGTGAGAAACAACGTACATATAAAATACACACAAATATGAGCTTACCTTGCAAACTTTACCCAGATTAAAATGAACAATTTCCTTCACGTTATCCAAAAGACTTTTTGAGTAGTCTATGCACTGAAGGAACAAAATACGCATAAAACATGCTAATATTTTTTTAACTTGACAATAAAATAGCACAACCAAATTATTACCTGATGACTCTAAGTGTGGCTATATGCTAAATAATAGTCAATAAAGTAAAATTGGATCAAGGGGTTCTCAGAACTAATTGAGGTCATTTGAAGGGCTACTAGAAGAGTTCATATTAGGCTAAAACGGCTGTTCAGTATTCCCTTATTTTCCAGTGGTTCCCTTACTGATGTCAGCTTGTTGTCGAACCTGTAACCAATCAAATATCTGTAAATCAACACTTAGCTTTAGATAATATTCTAGTATTAATCATTCCTGGCATGACTGTGTGACTGACGCGGACTGAGATTTTCTCGTGACTACTTATACTGTCTAATTTCCATTCAATGTTTTTATCCTATTCGCATTCGACTAGTTAGATCTTCTGCTTGAGTTTTATATATTCACAAGGAATGTGTTATCATTGGTTTATCTATTCATTCATCTACGACATCTTTCATAATTGTCATCACAGAAATTAACTGGCTGTGTGTTCTCTGTGTGAACCCACATTCACAGAGTGAATGTTTCATTAATTTTCTCGTAGCTTAAGTGATTTAGTGATTAACCTTTTGACGTTTCAAACTATTACTACTGAATTCGAGTGTCACCTGGGACACCATTGCTCACTGAGTATTGCAACTACAACCAGTCAATGGGTCCTAAATACGATGAAATGCACATGCTGAACTCAACTGCTGGTCAATAACCACCAAATAATGTAGTTTTGCACTCCCCCTGTAGATTACGATGATTTTGTTTTTTTTTGGCGTAACTTGGATGAAATAAGTTTTGAGATTTAACATGCTTACCTTTTGAAACTTGCGTAAGATTTGAAGAATTTGGCATACATGTTCATTTTGATTTGACATTAGTAACTAGTGTGATGTGTCTAGTTCTCTCATTGGTGCAGACTGAATTCTATCAATTAAATGTCTGGCGATTGCACTCGATAACACTTTTCTTCCTTTTGTATGGAGGCTCTTAGGAATGTGCTCAGAAAATCTAGTAGATGCTCTCCTCTCAGTCCTTCCTATGTACTTGCTTCCGCAGGTGCACGTGAATTGGTAAATGCAGTTGGAGTTGACGTGAGTAGGGTACTCATCTACTTTTGACTGGGTTAATGAGCACACAGTGTTGTGAAATAGGATCAGTCTGGCAGCTGGAAATGTTCTTTTTAATGCACTTGAGATTCTTTTTTGTGTTCTTGTGGATACGTCTTCACCTTTGTAGGCTAGGCAGATGAAAACTGGTTTCTTTTCAACGGTGTCGGGTTTCGGTTTGTGGGTTTCTTCATTTCTATACTTTAATATGAACTTTCGGGGATATCCATTCTCGATGAGGTTCTTTTCGATGACGGCGAGTTCTTCTTCAATAGTGTCTTCCGAACATATTTCTTTGGCTCTGCTGAAGAGCGTTTTTACTAGACCTCGTTTGTAGCTGGTTGGGCAAAAGCTGTGATAATTTAAGTATTGACCAGTCCAGGTTTCTTTCCTGTAGATAGATTTTTGAATCGTCCCGTCGTTTCTTCTTTTTATGTTGACATCAAGGAAATGGAATTGGTTGTTTTTTTCGTAGTCGATTGTGAATGCAATATTGGGATGAGCTGCATTGAGTTTCTCAAACATTGCGAACGCGTGTTCTATATCATTGCAGACTACGAACGTGTCGTCGACATATCTGCAGTAATAGGTGGTTCTTTCTATTTCTTCTTTCATTCGAGTCTGTTCAAGATGAGCCATGAATATGTCAGCAAGAACAGGACCCAAAGGTGAACCCATAGCCACCCCGTCAATCTGCCGGTACAGCTGATTGTTGAATCGGAATTGAATATTCTTTGTGCATAGAAGTAGCAATTTTCGTAGCTCGTTTTCTGGAAGAGGAAGTAGTTCGGACTGTTGGCATATGATTTTAACCGTTTCTTCGATGGGTATGTTGGTAAACAGTGAACAAACGTCGTATGACACGAGAAGTCTATCTGAAATATCGAGTTGATCTAATTCTTGTGAAAACTGAAAAGAATCTTTGATACTGTGAGTTGCCAGCTTTTTTCGAATGGGTTCCAGCTTTTGGGCCAACCATCTGGCCAGTTTGTGACATGGTGATTTCACCATTGATATTATAGGTCTCATTGGTACATCACTTTTGTGAACTTTGGGTTGACCGTACATGACTGGCACACGCGAACCCCTTGGTTTAAGGTCGTTGTAAGTGCTGTTGTCTATTAGCCCTTCTTTAAGTAGTCCTTTAAGGTGCTTGTTTACTTTGTTTTCGAAGGCCGTTGTTGCTTCTTTTTTGACGTATCAACTTGGAATCTTATTGTATCATCGAGAATGGTATTCATTTTCGAGATGTAGTCTCGGCGGTTCATTATTACGACACCTGAACCTTTGTCCGGTTTGAGAATGACGATGTTTTCATTGTTTCGTAGGTTTTTTATTGCTGTTCTGTGTTCTTTAGTAAATAATTTTGAGTGTGCTGGAGGAGAAATCTGATATTGTTCTGCAATATCGATCATTTTGGACTTAAACCAGACTCTTTTATCCTCGTCTATGGGTTTTAGGTCGGAAAGTTGACTGTATAAATACTCAAACTGCGTTTCTGTATCGATTCTGTTGATAAACGAGTTTGGTACGTGATACTTAAATCCTAAGGACAGAGCTTCAGTTTCAATTTTATTAAGTTTCACATCTGATAAATTGTATATGTATTTTTCTGGGCACTGTGGAAATTCTTCTTGTAGTTGTTCAACTACTAAAGATTTTCTGAGCTTCTTTCCATATGAGTTCGCTGTTTGCGTTTGTAAATCTTGCATGAAGTTAATGAACTTTATACGACACACCAAATTAAGGCTTTCCAGTAGACTGTCGAATTTCACTAGATTTGACCTTAAAGCGGTGATGTGTTTTTGAGATGAGTCGATATGTGATTTAGTGATGCGGCGCAGGTTCTTTAAAGTTGGAGGTAGTTTCGTCGATCTGATGAGTTTCAGAAATTGGCGTGGAAAACAGCCTATCTCCAGACACTCTTCGTAGAATTCAGTCAGGTTTTAATGTGTCCACCATTCTGAGTAGCTCGCCATCACTTGCACGTTGATTTGATGATATAAGATGGTTGGAGGCAATCGGCAGGAAGCCTTGGACCTAGGTTTCGTGCTAGTTGGCACTCACCAGCAAGGCCTATCTGCAACCTTGAAGGAACTCTTGCCCCTTCTGAGATTCGAACCTACGTCAGGAGGTCAATCGCGAGCCCGAATAGCTCAGTGGTAACGTCTCTGACTGCAGCACTGGGTGACGCGCCAACTAGCACGAAACCTAGGCCTAAGGCTTCATGCCGATTGCCTCCAACCATCTAATATCATACATGTTCATTGTTAATACCTATGGTTGCAGAAAAAACTAATGCTACATCTGTTAATTAGTTAAACACTTTTGAATTCCAAGTAGCATATTTAAATAAAATAATAATAAAATAATTTTTCCTTCACGTTCCCAGTGGAACATAGGGCTTCAAGCTAGTGGCTTGAAGTTTCTGTAGCGGTGTTCATTTTTAATTTTACTGGATGGGGTTGCTAGCCTCTTGCCCAACTTTTCCTCTTTACCAGCATTACTTCTGGCTCAGTGAGGTAAAGGAGTGCGTCGGCCGGGGATCAAACCCCGGACCATGTGCATGGTCGGCGAGCGTCCTAACCGCTATACCACCGACGCACAGTAGCATATATAATCAGTGAATAATTTTTTCATTGCCCTACACGACAGCTGGTAGTTAATAATGTCAGCAGGAGCACTATCACTCAAAACCTTGTGTCTACGAAAAGGAGTTATATATATATACGTTAGTGTTGATCCCGTGTTTTATTTCTAATAATCATGGTATTTATACTGTCTAGCTTTCATCTTTTTTTGGTAAGAAAAAAGCCATCATTTCACTTCACCAATGGAAGACCGGAAAAAATACCTTAATATTAAGAAACGTAATAAAACCCGCTGTTTTTTCAATAAAACATCTAGTTAATCATGTCAAGAGCAAAAATTACCTGGTCTTTATATTCTTCAAAGAAGCTACAACCAGAGTGAATTGATTCGTGCAGCCTTTCAGAAGATTCTCTGCTATACATCAGCTTGGAAACTGATTTGCTCAAAACTTGGCATTTTCTACAGCTTTCAATATCATCTATTGAAAAAAGACATTGGAACACACTGGTTATCAGAAGAAAAACTTTCAAATAGACGAAATAAAAACAGACATTCCCATCAAGATAATGACTGACGACATGTTTTCCAGTGACATATTTGAGCACAGTGGAACCTGATATCGATTCCAGCAAACAGATTTCAAAAACGTTGTCTTTTTAGGAAGATTGTTTGAAATCTTGCTAGGTTATTCATAACTGTACCATTCTGAATACACAGCTAACATACACAAACTAGTGTAGATCTCTAAGTGAATAATATGAGGTATTTTTAATGCTACCTTTAAATGATGGCCTCTAGTCACTGTCATCATGTATGCAAGTAAGTAGTCCAAAAATGAGTGAACAACTCAGTTTCCTCCTAAACAGCTGTTAAATTATCATGCTTTCTTCACTATTAATGTTTAAGCTTTCGGCTTTTTAGGAAGAAAACAATAATGAACTTACTAATATGAGTTTTACAATCTAGTCTCCTTAACCGTTTAAAGTCAGGTTGAGTTTTCCAGTTGCTGACCTGTTAATTTATTCACTAACCAGGATTCATCTGGTATGAACTGATTTGGCTTTCTAACCTCAGTCTCAGGTGAACTTTCAAAAGAGCAATAAAAAGTATTGCAATCCCTGAATGGTAACATCTTCATTATTATTATTATTATCATATCCTTTAATTCCTAGAGGAACACAGAGCTTCAGCTGCACACGTATCCATTGCCTTCCGTTTTCTGCCAACGTTTTCACCCGCACTCCAAGTCTGCCCACATGCTTTCATCTCCTCTTCATATGACCTCCTCCAAGTCACCCTTGGACTACCAACTCGCCTCTCTCCTTTCGGGTTTCACTCGAGCAATGACTTGTCTAGTGGTGTCACTTGATGGTTTCTTCAGAGTATGGCCGCCAATCCATCTCCATTTCTTCCTGCCTATTTGTTGCACAATCGGTTCCTGGTTGGTTCGCTCATTGCCAGAGATCCCTCCCTGCTACTGATCATTTCTGACCATCTGATCTTGAGTATTGAGCGAAGACAGCTAGCTGTTAATGAAGGTCTGTAGTTTGTTTGAGATGCTCTTGATGACGTGCCTAGTCTCTGATCCGTATAGTAGCACCGTAACATCTTCATAAATTTAACATATTTCTCATTAGAGGAGCTCAGCATTTGTCTACATTTCAAAATAATTTAAAGACAGACTACAGACCGACCAAAATACTAATCAGTTCAGCGTGAATCCTTATCAGAGATACCATAAAATTCTTCACAAACCATAGATCAGTCCCTGAAAATGTTAGTCCAACCTACATAAAATGAATGTTTCAAAATACATTCACTACATACTGACTGAGTGATGCTGTCAATCAGACTGAATATTCAGCGCTAAATTCTGGTCGAGATGTTTCGGTATCACAATCGTGGTCTCCCAAAAAGCATACAATGACGTTAGTGCACAGTGATAGAGAGCTTAAGAGGGTAATCAGCACTCTTTGGCTGTGAGTAGAGTTCTAGTTGATATGAGTTGAAAAATTTGTTCATTAAACAAATAATGATTGAAAAACAATTGAATAAGTCCCATAAGTAAGTACATTTCAGTTTACAAAAGAAATGGACTTAAAATTCTCTGATACTTCATGAGAAACAGAAGATTCTATTTAGAGATATAAGCTAAAACCCTATTCGCATATATAATACAGCTTAGAGTAAGTCTACAGTATAGGAAACTGTGGTTTAAAATGAGTAAACTTCAAGAAATCTACTCATAACTGGAGGCGTTTATAATGGTAAATAAAGGTTTGTAGGCATGGTGAATACCTATTTTACTCTTAATTATAAAACTTAACACAATGGTGTATTATCATTATTTTTCCCTTGGGTTCCTAGTGGAACAAAGGGCTTCAAATGCACATCTCCACTTGCCACTTCTGTCTTCTGCTCTACTTTTCACCTCCATCCATGTTAGCTAGTCCATACTCTTTCAACTCCTTTTCACACTATCTCCTCCATGTCACCCTTGCAGCGACGACCCACTCGCCGCTTCCCTTTCGGCCTGGTTCCACTCGAGCAATGGCCTGGCGCGCGCGCGATGTCACCCAGCGGCCTCCTCAGCGAGTGTCCAATGCATCTTTACTTTCTCCTGCATCTTTATTGGTTGGCGATTGGTTCTTGTTTCGTTTGTTTGTTCCCATAGTTTCTTGTTGGTGGTGATTCTTTCCGGCCCGGCCATCTGACTGATCTTCAGCATAGAGCGAAGACAGTTGTTGGTTGATGAAGGTCTGCTACAGGCTGTTGTAAATATTCTTTGTGACCCGCCCGCCAAGTTTCTGATCCGTATAGAAGAGCTGACTGACTTGATGTTTGTATTGAAAATCCGACTGAATTTTGTTGTTGATGCTGGCTGAGTAACGAAGATTTCCAGATTGGTTTCAGGTTGATGAATGTGTTTCTCGCCTGCCTTCCCGATTATCGCTCGATTTGACATCCTCGTCCGTTTCGCTGGCTGTATTTGAGACAATGCTCCCTAGATAAGTGAATGAAGTAACCTCTTTCAAATCCCTCCTGTTGATGGTGATTGGTGCTGGATGTTGCTGCTGTTGCTGTTGTTGTTGTTGGTTGGTTATTTTCATAACCTCCGTCTTGTCTATGTTCACTTGGAGTCCTATCTTCGCCGGCTGCTTCTTCGACCAGTTTGTCGGTTTTCGCTTGTAAGTCTTCGATTTTGTGTGACATCAAACATAAATCATCCACGCGCGAAATCCAGGTCTTCTAGGTTCTTCACGTTGATCCAGGATATCCCTTTCTTCTCGTTTCCCACTGTACAATGACTTAATTTTTGAGTAGAATAGTTTTCTTTTCGTCTGAAATTCCAAATATATTTCTTTTTCTGAACGATGAAGGTTTCTCTCCTGTCTAGAAATGATAATATTCAATTTTTTTTGAATTTGTCTTTGAAGATAGCATATCATACTTCACACTATATACGCGTGTTTAAAAAACGTCTCTCAGTTAACTCAATAAATCTTCAAATACTATAAGTCAAAATTTGTTCCCAAATATGAAAGAAGTCCAGTCTCACTTGTGTTCCGTACTGCTTGATGCAGCACACTGTCAATTTTAGAAATCATCTATTATTATCATCGAAAACTATGCCTAAATCAGACACGGAAGGTACCAATACAACCTACTTTCTCTCTTTGTTTAACTACATGCTTACTACAGGTGACTTTAACCAATGGGAGCGAGTGCATTCTTTCGCTGAATGTTTTAGGTATTGGAACGCCTAATACAATTTGTTGGGAAATAAAGCTTACGAACAGCTATACATTTATGTAGTTGTGAAACAAAATAGACAAATAACGTTAATGATAAAGTAACAAAAGTTTATGCTAAAATAAAAATAGATAACATTGTTATTTTACCTCTCTCCGTAAAATATTTCGAAACTTTGGTTGCATTACACACTTGGAAGTTCTGCGAATGATTTTAGAAACACGTCAAAGGAGGAAAAGATGCAATAACTTGTAAAACGGTGAATGGATTTTAGTGAAAACATGTTATCCAAAGAAAGCTATGCACAAGTAAAAATGAAGTCAAAGCCACTAGTTAAACTTATGTCATATTTTACATTACCCTTAAGTTTAACAAATTAGAACACATTTTATTCCAGCCTGTGATTAGGTGACTTAGGAAACTTCTGATGCTGTCAGTTATTTATTGTTAAACTAGGAGCTGCTATTTAAGTGAGTTTGTCAGTTATAGGATTTCGACATGAGCTGACATTAGTTAGAGAACCATTGGAAAACCTGGGAGTTTTGGACAGCTGTTTCGTCCTAGTTTAAGACTCTTCATCAGTACATGCCCACCGCCAGGATTTGAACCCAGGGCCTTCTGGTTGCAAGGTGAACTAGCGCGTAGACCATTAAGCCACTGGGATCCAATTCAATGGCCCATAAATTCTAATTTCTGCCAATTCACGACATAGCGTGACCCCTAGCCAATGTCTTTGGTGAGTATTTGTCCTCACACTCGACCTTCTGCACCCTACTGGTCACGATAGTGTCAGTATTAGATTTCTTACCATAATGGCATTTAGGCCGTGAATGAATTTTCACAGGAAATTATTATTCAACGAGAAAATTCATTAGATAACATAGGATATTTATTAGTTAACCCACTTAGGATTCAACAGCTACACCGCTTCACATCCCACTATCTGTTTGCACCAGTATTAACTTAGTTCAAGCGAAAATAGATTTTGACACACAAGTACTAATTATTAATCACCATTCAAAAAAACAGTTCAGCAAAACGGCTGTTTTTGGCGAATTCATTTCCTTAAGGCATACAATCGCAGAGAAACTAGAGGAGGAGTTTGAGTTCCTTGAAAATATATTGAAGAGAAATGGGTATCCTCAAAGTTTCATCAACAAGTATGGAAGATCTGAAGTCACAAGAGTAAAACAAATCACAGTGGAAAAAAAGCCAGTCTACCTTCAGCTTGATTATAAAGGTGAAAATATTGCAGCGATGACCAACAGAAGGCTGAGTACATCACTAGCCATAGCGTATCCTGCAGCTAAGCTCGTTCCCGTCTATCGAACAACTTGCTCTTTGGTGCAATCAAAAATCGATAGATATCCTTCTCATGTTACCTCCAAATGTGTATACAAATTTACATGTATCTGCGGGAGCAGTTACATTGGAAGGACAGAAAGAAGGGCATATCTACGATTTTCTGAACATGTACCAAAAAGCTTACGTCTAAAGGGAACAAATGCTTTCAACAGTGCCATCACCAGGCATCTTCTCGACAAGGGTCATGAGGTGGACGTTGAAAAGTCGTTCAAAATTATCAATAAGCAAAATAGCTGAATTCTCCTTAAGTTTGCTGAAGCCATTTCCATCAAGCGCCTGAAACCTGATTTATGCGTCCAGAAAGAAGCGGTTATCAGCCTTTCTTTGCCCTGGTAACTGGATAATTTCACCTCTCTTTCATCCGAATGTGAAATGCCAAAAGTTTCCATTGTGTTTGATTATTATTGTTCGGAATAGTGGTTAATATTGCATATTTATATATGTATATATTTTTAGTGTATGAGTATACTGATCGATTAATTTTTGTTTAAACTTAACTCTGTGCAAGTATGTTAAAATTGTTGTTGTAGATATATTTAATAATGTCCTCGCCGTGTAAGCAGCTGACGAGAAGGCGACGAAATAAAAGATGGTACCATTTTATTCTGCTAAAACTGTAGTTCTTGCTTTGTTCAAATTCATTAAGGGGAATAAATGTATGAAATCGCATTTATATACACCTTTTCGTCTTTCCACGAAACACGATCCTAACAAAGTTGATGAGTCCATATATATTTTCTTATATTAAGAACTACGATTATGAAAACTCGTCACTTCTGTTGCAAACCTCTTTCGTGAAAAATTCTATATAAATGTGATAATGTGGCTGAATTCACCGAAGGTAGAGTCTTCGCTGAACTACCTGTTATGTTGTTCCCACAAGTGTGGTGTTATTAATCAAGGTAACTAAGGATTTCAAAATATGCACAAACAGTGTGAACGTTCAAAATCGAACAGTTTCACTTACTTCGAGCTTATAAAATCAGTTGCTTTTTAGGAGATAGTTGTAAAAGTAAAATCTCTCCATCTTACTTCTGAATACACTTCATTAAAAATTCTGAAATATTTTGTTTGAGTATATCCCCAAGCTCACAATAATTCCAAACTAATTCTAACCTATGCGTCGATAATGCCTTATTATGGTAAATGAATAATTTAGCAACCTAAAATGAACCCACTATTCGCTGAAATAACTCTGATAATTCTTAAAAAAGGGCTCTTGACACTTAATTTATGCGTTGAGACCTTAAAAGTAGGATTTAAAGCTGAAATAATGTCTTTAGTGATGAAATAAAGCTGAAAACATTGCCACTATGCGTTGATAACAGTCTTTTCCTTCTGAAGTAATGCCAATCACTGCTAAATCTGGACTGAGAGTGCTGAAACAAGGCTAATTAGCAAACCTGGTAGGTTCTGAGCTACTTCTGAAAACGCCTAGAAAAAGCACAGGGTTCTAAATTATTTATATATTTATTTTTGACTTAGAGCTTGATTCTACACTGTATTTTTGGAACAAGTATGGAATTTTCAGCATGGATATCGGTAGCCCAAATTTTGCAGGCCGACCATAGATATCAGGTGTGCGCCGAAGTGGGCTCGAACCCCGGAACATGTGCATGGTCGGTGAGAGTCCTAACCACTGTGCCACCGACGCACAGGGTGCTAAAAACCAGCACTAATTTCTAGTTTGTGGGCATAATCAAATCCTTTCAGAATAATTCCAGAATTTAATCACTATCAAAAGTTACATTTAGTTCAGAATCTGGAAATTTGTTTCAACATTATGGTAAGCCTTAATTATTACTGGGTACCAGAAAAGTTTGTGATGGGTTAAATACAAAAGAAAATAGGATGTCAAGAAACACCACTTTCTGTAGTACTCAAATACTCGAAAGAATTAATCTCATGCCTGAATTCATTACAGATTTTACCAACGAAGTCAAAATTAGCAGTTTTCTTGGTAAATACGATAAACACTCAATGGTTCCAATAAATTATGATAGTTTTATATTCTTCTTTTATATCCATTTTGGGTAAAATTTTGTTCAGATAAAGTCTCACAATGTTATACACTAACATTTACTGATGACGATATTTCGAGAACAATTTATTGCTGCTCATAATCATTTCGAGTTATTCACATAACTTTCAAACTTAGTTCATATAATTCCATTGCTTTTCATCGTTTTACTTGATTGGTAGTAAGTAGTATTTTAATCATGTCATCATAATGATGAAATGAAACAGACGGAAGAAACGTTGTGTTAGATAACTATCCTATAAAATAAATTCATTAGGAAGATGAGTAAAGGTGTAAAGCAAAATAAAAAATAATGGTGAGACTAATAATGATAATAAAGATTCGAAAGAATGTAAGGCAGTTTTACCATATAAGGAAGGGACATCTGAAACCGCACAAATGATTCATAATAAAGCAGAAATTAGGGCGGTATTTAAAACTACAAACTCACTACTCAGAGACAAGCTCTGTAGGCTAAAAGACCCAGTGGACCCAAATAAACAAAATTATATATATACAATTGGTGGATGGTGGCTAGCAGTGGAATCCAAGATGCGCATTTCGTCCTAATTGGGACTCGTCAGCTGGATGTACCTGTACCTGCGCACCCTGGATTCCACTGCTAGCCACCATCCACCAATTGTATACAAACCAAATCCCAAGACATCATCGAAGCATCTGCACAAGAAGCCGACATGTCAACCTGAGACCAAACACTTCGGTCCAATCAATCGGCGGGAAATTAAAAATTCAATTCAAAAATTATATATAATTTACGAAATATCTTGAAATGACTTTGAGGTCGACTACAAAGGTCACACTAGTAGATCGGGGGTAGTCAGACTGTTAGAACACAAGAATTTAGCTAAGGTTGGAATGATTGACCCTGTGAAGATAAGTAATTTAGGAAAAGCTCAGAGATTGCACCGCATGCATTAACATACAAACACACAATAGGATGGGAGACAGTTAAAATTCTAAGAAGTAATATAGGTAGGTGGGAAAGTGGTTGATTACTTAATCTTACAATTAACACGCGCAATAGGAATAACTCATCACTCATACCGGAAAAATAGAAAATACTACTACCAATCAAGTTAAACGATGGAAAATAATGCAATTATATAAACGAAGTTATAAAGTTGTGTGTGTGAATAACTCGAAATGATTATGAGCAGCGATAAATTGTCCTCGAAACGTCGTCACCAGTTAGTGTTAGTGTATAGCATTGTTTATTTGAATAAATTTTACCCACCATGGAATTATACTCTACCACAATGCACAGGTTTTACTCCTATATCAGTTTGTTTTAATTCATATTCGTTTTCAGTGGAACATAGGGCTTCAAGCTAGAGCTTCGAAATTTCACTAGCAGCGGTGTTTATTTTTATGGGACGGGGTTGCTAACTTCATGTCCTCACCTTCCCTCTCAAGAGTTTGTTACCAGCTTAGCGAGGTAAAGGACTGCATCAGCTGAGGATCGAAACCCAGCCCACTTGTATGGTTTCGCAGTGTTCTACCACTTAGCCACCGACGCACTACAGTTTTACGTCATCACTTAATAATATACTTAACAAAACGCTTAAATACTATAATGAAATAAAAACCACGAATATTTTACCACGCATAATTCTTCTGGTTTTGATGCCCTTCCAATTGTATTCAAAACGTTAGTAAATATTTTTCCACATAGGTTGAACACTGAAATAAACAAAAGTAATGCATAAATCAAGTCAACTAATAATCAAAAAGATACCTTTTAAGAATTATTATTTAAAACGTCACGAAAACATTTTTCTCTATGTAAAAATGCACCATAAATTTTGTGAAATTTGTAGGCTAAGCACTGATATGATGACCTCCAAAATATTGATAGACCATTTAACAAGACATTTTTTATTGAAGTCTACCAAAGTAATAGGGAGTTGAAGGCTTATCATCCTTTATTATAAAAGTATTCATCATTCATTGAACACTACCATTCTTTCTACCTCACTAATGATCTCAGAATGGATAGCTAACATGAACTTTGTGTTACAACTATATCGAGAAATTATAAGTTAATACTAACTGTGTAAGGATTTCATTGTAATACACACCGAAGTCAATGGTTAAGAATGTTCTCTCTTTAATGAATCTAAATATTCTTGGACAGATGTTTATTTTCTTCATTGTAGACTTTGTCATGAAGTAGTATCAGTTAGAGATCATTCAAAATTCGAAGATATATGATAGTTGCTTCATTTTGTTCAGAATTATTCACTAGTCAGCACTTATGACTCCACCAGAGTTCGCAACCACTACCATCAGGTTACTAGGTCAGCTGGTTGACTATTGAGCCACTAAGACCGGAATTCAGTAATCAGTGAATTCTCACATTGTAAATTTTATGATCAAGTGCCACTTTGGAATTTATTTAAATCCATACAAAACGCCATAAACTAAATATCAGTTTTAAGCTCATCGGTGGCTACTAGGATAGATGTTCTGAGCTTTCCATAAGGGTTCACCATGTCAAGGTGAATTAGATACTCATCGATAGCATTGCTTGACAGTTGCGCTATATCACGAATTCAAAGTTTCTGAACTCACGGGTCACTGAACTCCTTTTCAAGTGGCTAAAAGGTTAGTAAATGAGCTTAACATCTTAATGTAAAGGTTTTTGGTTAGTTCATTGACTGAGTCATGAGTGTGTTCACTGCTGAAGAGTCTTAAACTAGAATGAACCGGCTGAGTAGTGTATCTAGTTTCCAAAGATTCTCGAAATGATGATGGTTCGTGACGAATTCGCAGTGAAGTTAATCCAAATTTCTACAGAAACTACAATCTTAAAATAGTTTACAGTAATTTTACAGCTTATAAGTAATTGTTTTTGTAATAATGATCAAAAGTTCATTTTAATCAGTATATTCGTTACGAGTTGACGTTTTGTGAAGGAAAAATAACCGTGATAACGTTTGACGTCCTGATGATACGTATGTACTACAGAATTAATCCCTAGAAACATATGAAAATGTGTTCTTTTATGACTAAAATTTTGTCTCTTAATAACCTTAAAAGTTATCAGTGATCTTTTACATTTCAGCATCTTTCCTATTTATTTTAAGTTTATTATCGTAAACCAAAAAATGATAAAATGGTACTCTGAAAATAAGAATTTTAGTTTTAAGAAAGCCCTTTTTAGCAATGGTAAATAATTTACTTGTAATTAAGGTAGTTATTTAAACCTTAACTGCATCTGTAACGCTTCAGTCATGTTTTAACCAAGACTTTTTCATGATATACTTTGAAATACTGCGAAATATTTGTCCAGTCACCATCATTTCTCAAAGATTCACTAGCAGATATCAGTTAGTACACTATGAATCCTTCAAAAAGGCGCATGAAAACCAAAACTGTCATTTTCGTCTAACTTAGACTGTGTAGGAATAACTGCTTTCAAATATCTAATCTACAAGCTGATAAATACACCTATCAGTATAGTATTAAGTCTACAAAACATCTAGGAAGATATACGGAAAGGTATATACAATTAATTTGAACTCACAACATCTTTTGTTCTTCCATGTGGAACAAGATCACATATACTATCACCTGCTAGTATATATACTTCACGGAGATAATTATCAGTCATTAGGTAACGCAGTAAGCTGAGGCCAGCTTCGCACATTCCACATCCTGTTCAATGCAGATAATTGTTATATAGGGTAGAATACATTAATCGGAATAGAAATTCAATATTTTATCGAATATCAATTACAGTAATAGATTGGATCTACTTGTTTGATTACCATTAGGTGAAATCAGCTTATAAAATGCATTTTTTGGATACAAGATAGTGAATGTTTTGGTTTGGTGATCCTTAGTTGTCTGGATAATTTAAAATTTTTATGAAGAACTCATGAATGTCAAAAGTTTACAACTTCAGAATTAGATGTGCTTTCCTAAAATCATACATAATATACTTATTTTTCCTATTGTTACTCCAGCATTCTCACTGTCAGTACCTCTAATGTATATTAGTAAATTTCGGTGTATAATAGTAGCAGGTCACTTAGAAGGCAAACTGCTTGCTTGCGCAGTAGAACTGTGCTAACACTGAGACCTATACAGATAGTCTAATTACCATGTAGTGAATAATACTAACTCAGAGCCTTATTTATCTTATGAATAAAAACACTGGACACTTAACCTTCACTTCACAGTAGATAGTTAAAAATAACACGCAATAAAAAGACAATGGTTTTTTTTTTCTTTAAAAGCTGTTATATAACATTTGTGATCAGATGAAATACTAACATACCCCATGATACATTTTCTTTTTGAATGTAACTATCCTGTCAACACCAAGAAAATAATAAATCCAATAAAATAAGTTGAAGTGATGTAAAACAGCGTATAAATTGCTAAACATTTTGTATAAAAATGTAAGCTGTACAGCACACTGATGAAATTAAGTGTACGACTCATTATTTTCCTGTGTTCTATATTCTCTGTAGTGATTGTATTGGTTTTCCGCTGTTGGGTCGCTAACCCCTCGCTTAGACTTTTTCTGAGCTTAGGACTTAACATACTCTAAGGAGACTCTGACAGGTCCTAAAATGGAATCCGAACAGAAAACAACGAGTTAGGTGACCGAGGATGACATGGAGGAGATCATGTAAGAACAAGTTTTGATCCTGTTATAAGAAACTATAGCGAAGCAGACGAAATGGAAACACGCTTCTGAAGCCCAATGTTTTACTCAGAACTAAAGAGAATATTAACAAGGATTCACTGTTTTGTTAGCTTGTTCCACCAGGTTGATCTGGTTACTACTCGATGTAAGCTAGGGGGAATAATGTGAACCAGTAGGGTGCTTGCACGACTTCCTATATCTAGTGAAGAATGTAACCTTATCGATGAGTAAATGAACATGGAATTAGGATAAAATATGATGGAATTTTTATAGATGTTTTAAATTTTCATGAAACGTGAGAATTTAAAGGTATGGTACTACATATTTTAACTGTAGCATCAAAGTATAACTTCTTTTTTTAAAGGACAGATACAACAGTTCACTTCTTAGACTTATCATGAAAAGCCATGGCCAACGAGGTCAATTAACCTGCAGATGGGAATAGTTACCCACCGCAAGAACTGTCAGTCACAAACAACTGAGCTATAATAACCCATTCAAACAACTGAAAACACATAAACAAACTAGTCTTCATACAGTTATGTCATAGATTGTAATGATCTTGACATCCATCCGTCTCATGTAAGATGCTAAGGTATTACAAGTAATGAGCTCGAGGCTAGAAAGAAGTATTCATTCCAATACCTTAGTCTCTAGTAGTTCTCAATATCGGTGACGAAGTGTGCCTTACAAATATAATCAAAATTAGGTCTTATAGAAAATTAGGATAGAATATTGGACAATTCAGTTTTATTAAAATGTAACGTACTTCAATGCCAAAGCTGTTGATAGATAAAAATTGTTAATTAAGCAAAACACAGTTAACAATGTGATGAACATTTTGTAGGTGATAACAGGTGTATAGTAAGTTTGCTGATATGGTGTGATATATGCATATATATATATATATATGCATAGTAATAAGATCTATTTGAATGATTAGATTTCTTTTCTGCAGATGACCAAAGTCTAATAATGTGGATGAAGCATAGTTTTTTTTTAATTAATGACAATAAAAGAATGAAAAACTAACTATAATGTGGTTGAATAAATAAATAAACCAATACACTCATGTTCATATGCAAAACAATAAACTTCATTCAAATAATTAGGCATTTTCGAGGAAGTGATTATACTGAACCCATTTATTATTCAAATAAACCCCATTGCAAATACTAATAAAAAAATTGAATTATGATCCAAGGGTAGGATAAATTGACATTCAACAAATAAACAAGCTCTACGAGTTCAATGTATAAATAGCATCCAATTGATACAAAAACTTATAAGCAGAAAAATACACGCAAATATCACTTTTTGTCAAATTAATTAATCCATTTCAGCATTCAGATAGAACTAAACTTAACTACTAGATCGTACATCTCCAAATGTTGTTTACTATCTTTTTAGATGTAGTTAAATATAATAATAATCTACTTTATTCCGAAAACAGTACTTTAAAACAGAGTGGAATTCTCAGCATTAGTTACAATATTGCATCTGATTTACTCAAACTATAAATAAAGTTAGAAATTAAAACAAAATTAACTAGAGGAGTTTATCCATATTTACGTTATAAAGTCAATAATATTCGAAGTATCAAATGAGAATAATAAATATTATAATAGTAATAATAACAACAATGAGTTTGTTTCAAACAGTACTATCGATTCAGTTTGGAAATTTTAGCATGTTATAGAGTATTGAATCTAATGTTCTGTTGATATATTATAGTTAGGGGAAAGGCAAGAAATAACAGTTATAACACTGGTTAAATGATGTTAAAACTTTTGAGAAAATAAACAAATAGAAATAAAAATTGCGACGATAATAACATAAGAGGAACAAAGCAATAAAGCTTGATGTTATAAGGCTGGGGAAAATGGTTCATTTACTAGTGCAAAGAAGGTTAGTAAGGACATAAAATACGTGCCAAATATGGAATAGTGGAATTTTCATGCTTAGACATACGTGCATAAAGTCTTCCGAAAAGACTTCTTCTTTTACCCGAGGAGCCACAAGTTTGGAGCTGCGGATAAAGTGGATCCTCACAGTCCGATAAAATTCTTTTGGCAAAATTTGTTGCATAATATCAAGTGCCTATCAATGACGATATCAACGATAAAGCCCAATGAGATATCTGCTGTCGCACAATGACAGTCTTCAGAGTTCTACGAAGTATGATATAGTCTTTTTTAAGCAATTCAGGAAAGAATCAGGGTGAACAGTAAAGAAAAATAGGTAAGATGAACGAACTGACAGACTGCAAAAAGAGAGGTTGGGTTATGACTGAGTGCCTTAGCTTCTTAACGTAAAAGGTCAAACGAAATATTTTTTTAGAGATAACTAAGACATGGGTAGAAAGGATAGGTCATAAGAAAGAACTAATCCAAAATACTTAACTTCAGATTTGATTTGTATATCACTATCATCAATTTTTCAACGGTCTTAGGAATTAATTGCTGCATTTAACTTTCTTTTACATCGGAAATTGAAATTAACACTCTGACACTTGGAAATTTAGTTCAAGGCCGTTAGACGAAGACCATTTTCTAACTTCTGATAGAAAGCTGTTCATCTTAGTACAGTCTAGCTGGGAGTTAATAGACACTGGAAAAGTTAGACAGTCCGCAGAGTCAGGCAAGTCATGCAAGAAAAAAGAAAACAGTAACATAATTATTCACCTAACCCATTGTAAGAAAATATCAGAAGTAATAAGCCCGATCAGTTACATAATCGCAGTTCGGGAATATATGTTGTGTCACTAAGTGACAAAAATGGAAATTTTTACGCTTCAATGTTTTCAATAAGTCCCTGAATGATTAAGTCATTACCGCGAGATCTAATGCTACATTATTTTATCCTGTGTTGATTTCTGAGTGCTCTCTATCGAAGTATAATTTAGTGCATTACCGTTGACTTTTTCCCTATTAAGGTCAGAAAAGTTATACGTTAACGTCTCAACTTTAACCCAAAGGGTTGTTCATTGAATTCCTTTATATACACAATTTGTTTCGGTGGTAGAATGCTCCCTGACCACGTACGCTGTCCCAATTTGATTCCTGACCGATGTACCCCTAGACGTCGCACAACAAGCAGTAAGGCTGGTGAATATGGAACGCTGGGTGTGAGGTTGGCAACCGCATTTCATAAAAACAACATCACGGCTAATGAAGCTTTAGAGCCTGAAGAATTATTTCCATTCAGAAAGCGATAAAATTGAAAAAAACGATTAAAATTTTTTCAGAAGAATGATTACTGAACAAAGAATATTCTTCACGAAAATTTTTCATTAGATTCCATAGTTATTTATACATTATAGTGAATTAATAACTGTTATTAACAGCATTAATGTTTAAGTAGCATCGAATCATTATAATATCAGTGGACTACAGTTCTATAGCATCAGCATAACAATACACCGAATATCAGAAAAATTAGGAAAAAATTGTACAGATTCATGAATTTATAGTCTTCACTGAAGGCCAGGGCGATAGTAGTGGCTGGCTGGACTTGGCTCTTTTGCATAGAAAGCACTTGTTGTTTGACGCCAATCGCCAAAGCGTTTGCTGTTTGGAGTACTGGGTACCTGGATGCTTTTGGCGATTTATTTGCTACCCGGTAGGTGATAGAGAAGGACTCTTTAATGCTGGATTTTTGACCGATTTGAACCAGGTGGTCTAATATGGAACTTTTGATGGTTTTTACCACACCTTCATACAACCACACTGGTAGATGTTCCCGAGCACGAAAAATAAAGTTCCTATAGCAACGGTCAAAAAAACTCACTCCACAAGCACAGATGGTGGACACAATTATCAGTGGCTAGTCTAGGTACTTCATATTTCAATTGGGAATCACCATCAGTAGTATGGAAAATAAATCATGTAGTTTGCCAACATTAAAAGTTCTTTAAAATAATTCCTAATTATTTCGCTAGGTATGTCGCCTCTGAATTGCCTCTGAAGAACCTGATGATAAAGTTATCAAAAGGAATATTTTCAATTCTATATAAGCCATTATTATTACTACTTTCTAGAAAAAATGAACTGCAATAATTTCTTTGAGAAAGTTAATTTAAGTCGAGAGCTGATTTTCTCACAGTTTCTGATTATTATTCTTTTATTTTGTACCTACTGACAAAGTAGACAGTAGTATCTTATTTTAACTTTCAAAAACTTCTATTTTCTATTTTTTTTATTAGCACCACACATTAAAATTCTGTTAAAAAATAAACATGAAATTGTACACTTCGGTCAGTTCTGAATTCAAGTCACACGATTGAATAAGTACAATTAGGAAAAAAACCGAACAAAACACTTGATACTTTGTTTTAAATTACCAGTACAATGTGCAACATCATACCTACAAGTGGTGTGATAAAGTTATTGTACTATTTACTACTCGTTTCCTCCTTTTAGCTAACAGCACTTCTAATTATCTGAATGGTATATTTCAATAATAACTAGGAGATTATTTGAAAATGGTGCTATTTCTAAAATCAGCAGATGTTGGATATTTTAGATGTCCTCATCACGAAATGTTGTACCATAGGCTCTTCTCATGGAAGTGAAAATTGTAGTTGTATAAGAGCTCCAGACTGAAATAGAATAGATACCTAGTAGCGATTAGCTTCAGTGCATCTCTAGATGATATTAGTTAGTGATGGCATTTCAAGTGAATAGAACAAGCTGCAGGCGAAGGAGACCTTGTCACACTCTACCAAACAACTAGGCACCTATCGGGCAGACGTTCGACACAGATTAAGCCACTAAAGGATGACAATGGAAAGTCAATCACCAAAGAAGTATAGCAAAGAAAACACTGAGCTGAACACTTCAAAAGACTTCTAAATCGTCCGCCACGTACAATGTGCCCAACAATACCAACAACGGAAGCAGAACTACCAGTGAACATCGACCCCCCGACGAAATCAGAAGTCCTGAATGCAATCAAGATGCCTAAAGCTGGAAAAGCAGCAGAACCAGATGGAATCCCACCAGAAGCATTGAAAATGGACCCAGGGACAACAGCGGACTTGATGACACCATTTCCTGAGAAGGTTTGGAAAGAGGCCAAAGTACCCGAGGATCGGGAGAAAGGATACTTATTCAAACTTCCAAAGAAAGGAGACTTAAGTCAATGTAAAAACTGACGTGGAATTATGCTTCTGTCCATTCCAAGCAAGATACTAAGTCGCATCATTCTGGAGAGAATCAAACAAGCCCTAGATGAAAAACTTCGTCCGGAACAGGCTGGATTCATGAGAAACAAATCATGTATTGATCAAATCGCCACTCTACGGATCATCATTGAACAAAGCTTGGAATGGCAGTCACCTCTCTATCTCAACTTCATCGACTTTGAAAAGGCCTTCGACAGCGTTGATCGAGAGGTCATTTGGCAACTACTTAGCTACTACGGGGTCCCATCGACAATTATACATCTCATCCAACAGTTATACGACAATGCTGCATGCCAAGTAATCCACAACGAGAAACTTACGGAATCCTCCGAAGTGAGGACAGGGGTAAGACAAGGCTGTCTACTATCGCCAATGATCTTCCTGATTGCAGTAGATTGGATAGTGAGACAGACATCGGGAAATGAGGAAACAGGCATAAAATGAACTCACACAAAAAAGACTTGGAGAATCTGGACTTCGCCGATGATACATGTCTGATTTCCCACAAACTAGAAGATATGCAAGTGAAAAGCAACAAGCTGGCGAAAGAAGCATCAAAGATAGTACTTCAAGTGAACACAGAGAAAACAGGGGCAGGTGATGAAGATTCCTGGCCAACACCAACAGCAACAGCAGCAACAACAGACAACAATCA